GAACCGCTTCAACGGGGTGGCACGCACAGGAGGGATGAGGCTCGCTAGTGAGGTAACTCTGGAAAGCGGCTTGACCCGTTTGTTACTGGGCTCCTGGAGCAGGGGGAGGAAAAAAACGGGGGGAGTGTGAGCATAATCAGATAAACATTGCTACCAGTTTGGCTGATTTTCCTAAGAAAGCATTGGTAAACAGCAAGTTTGTAAACCTGGTACGTAATTAGGGTAGTAAATAAACAATACATATTATTTCGATATTTCGAACAATAGCAGTTCGAAATGCTGACAATGACGGATTGCTCTTGGCTGGTACATACAGATCCTGGAAACAGCTGAAAAATGTAATGATGGAGAAGTTGGCATGGCTGGGAGCAGAGGAAGGGAGAAAGGTAAAGAAAGACAAAATCATTTTATTATATTAACTCATTTTTAAAAGAAATTTTTAGCAGTGCTCTGCAGCTAATGCATGTTATGATAATCTCGTCATTTAAAGGAATGCTTTCAAATAAAAACAATTCCATTTGTTTCTCTGCCTCTGGCACCGTCAGCATGTGACTCTATTCAGTTAAATGTATTTTATTCCAGAAAATATAATTTAGACAGAAATCTCTAACTGTACTTGTCCTTTGAGTGCATGTTCCTATGGAAATACTTATACATACAGGCAAACACATTAATAACATGTTTACATATATTTAATTTTTGCATAAAATAGAAAGGAAAATTAACCAAAAATCTACCATAAAGCATTCAATTACATGTTTTTCTTTTCATATATACTTTTAACAGCACTTATAGTAATACATAACCCCTTCAATATAAAATGCCAATTGTCCTGCAGATTTTAAAAAAAAAGTTAACAGAAATCATTACACAAGAAAGAAGTTATTATAAATACATAAAAATAGAACAGTTACCCTTGGCTTCCTAACCTCCATCTGACATTTAATGGATCTTGAACAGCACATGCAAAAGGCAACTTTTGACAGAAAAAGAGCCAAACCTTCCAAGTGAAGTTAAAAAACCCATCCAACATCATATTTCAAGGACATCCTAAAGCAGTTCATCTTTCTTTTTCAGCCATGCTTATAAAGTTTGTGTAGGCTTGCTATGCCTCCAGTTTCCTAGACATAGCTTTAAGAAAATGAAGCATGCCTATTATCCTTTTGTTCAGAAATCCAAATCCTTCTGGAAATAATGCAGATTTCTCATCCTTCCTGATATCAAAAAATAATAAATCTCAGCAGTGATGATCATCATCTGTGTTACTGGCAAGAAAAATTCTCTTCCATTAGTACAGCAACAGAGGAAAGGTGAGAAGCAGCATCATATTTAATTTACTTCTCAGCAGGCAGACCTGGAAATCCATAAATGCCGGCTGAGATGAGGGACAAAGTGTTTAACCCTCTAGCAAAAATAACGTATTCCATCACACATGAAACCTGGCATTAAAGAATTCTAGCAGCTTAAATCAAGTTACATCCTTATCTCCACCACTGCACTGCTATTCGTTTTCCTTCCTTTTCAGCAACTATGTCTTTGACACAGGTTTTTGAAGGAGTATTTTTTTTTACGTCATTGCAGCACCACTAGCATATTTATCTACAGCATCCCCATCCCCACCCCTCTCCCCCAAAAACGAAGAAAAACCTTTGAGATTCCACTGCAATTCTTCTCTAACTGGTGGCTCAGCCATCAGCTGGGTTTTTTAATGATTATTCAGAATGCCAGTCCTGGTGCACAAATAGTATCCCATGGCAGAGCCTGCTTGTCACGAAGCGTGCTGCACTGCAGTGAAAGGGCCTGGAGTCCCAGGCAGGCGGGCAGGGCTACGCCAGCAGCACGGCTTTTGCTAGCACCTCTGCCTTGGCAGCAAAGGCTGCTTAGGCATAAATACCACACCCCGAAAGCAAAATCTGGAAATCACGACTGTATGGACCTTCCAGAAGACAGGGCGAGGGGGATTAGGATTAACAGAAAAGATTTCTCCTTCTTTACTGCTGTATCCTGTTACCTTACAACTTTGCTGCTATGTATATGTTCTTTTGTCAAAAGACAAAACTCATGCAAAATAGCACAAGTTTGATCATCACAGCCATATCTTGCTTGAAACTTAAATGCTCCCCATAGCCTTACAGACCTTTTCCACACACATTGTGACCTATCCACAATTTTGCACAGTCTTTCAGTCTTAACTTACAACAAAACTAAGCCCAGAAGCCCTTGGATAATTTCCTGAGGAGTCTACTGACAGCAAATGAGCTCACAAAAGAAGCAAATCTGTATTTCACTGCATCTCTGCAGCATTTCATTTGAGTGCGTTGCAAAAAACTTGAATGAAACTTCCTCAATGGTGTTTAAAACCAAGTAAGGAACAGCAAGTCAGTCTATCCTTATTTGAATACTTCCAAATACTGTGTGTGTGACTGCAGCTGAAGTTTATTAATTCCTACCCAAAGCCTGCAGGCTAAGCACTCAGACCAGGACCTAATTTGCTCAGCCGTGTGGGGCACATAAACCTCAGGCAGCTGTGAAAATTGATGCACAGCATCAAATAACCTTGGAGAAAATCAGCCTGAGTAAAAAGAATGGAAATCGCCCTCTTTCTCTTGGAGAGTGAGAGGAAGTGAAGAAAACAAATATGATCTCCCCTTCTTCATGTCGGAGCGCCCAAAGGCTCTCTGGGACCGGCGCTGTCTCCTGGCCAAGGATGCCTACAGCTCCAGGGGAACACAGCAGTTTCAGCCACCATCACAAAAACATTAAGCTCTTCTAGAGCTTCTTGGTTTAAGCCACGAGAGGTCAGCACTTCTCCCAGTAGTCAAAGGAAAGTCAGCTAATGGGCCGTGAAGGTATGCCTGCAGGGGTCCTGCTCCTTCGGCCTCAACATCCCACCGTGCCTTCCTCATGGAGTGTATCGTATTCTGATCTCGCACTGACAAATCTGATCAGAACTCAAAACAGCTAAAATATGTGGTTCAAATTAGGAATTTGATCTTATTAAAATAGATGAGCTTTATTAGAGGATTCTCTCCAATAGAATTATTTAAGATATCAATATCAATCAATAATTTCAGAAGTCTAAGACTTTACACCTTTACCAATTAGGACTGAAAGTAAATCTTGTTAATCAGAAGTTCTTAATTACGGTGAAAGCTTCTTTCTGAATACTTCTAATGCGGTTTTCAGCCTGCGTTAGAAACAGTCAGTTAGGTTCAGATAGCCAGCTGGAAGTGAAAACTCATCAAACCTTGGTGCTCCAGGTGCCATCTCCCTCAGAGACGTCTCACAAGAAGAGCAATCAGCACTGGGTCACCCCCTCCACTGTGGAATAATAAAGCGTGTCCAGGTAAGGCTTTGGCTGTGCAATGAACATAGAGCACAACCGGAGCAATTCTAAAACTGTAAGATAGTAATACTGAAACTCAGACATTCGATGGCAGTACTTCTGTTGCATGGTCTATGTCCATTCTGCCTCCACCTCCCCTTTCATCAACGCCCTCCTTCGCAAGCTGTGTCCCCCCTCCACACCAGCACCACAGAGAAGCTGAACAAACTGTTGAGGCCAATGATCCGGGCAGGGAAAAATTCTACAGGGAAGTGCCTAAAAAAGTAAGTTTTAAACAGATGGTTGTTTTTCTCACCAAGGGCTCTGTTCTTCACAAGCAACACATCAAATGGAGAGAGGAGAGTACGCGAGCTATCCTGCTTTACCGATCAGAATCTGCACTTGCACGTTAGTCCAATAAGATCAGGGAGCTGCATTCCAAATGCTGCTTCCCAAGACTCTTCAATTCTTTTTTTTTTTTTTAAAGAATAAACTGCTTGCAGTTAGGAATTCCTAGTACATGTGCTCATTATTTTACTAATCTGTCTCTGCAAAATCTCTGGTCTTCCAGTTAACCAGGGGTCCCGCAACCATAAAATCTTTTGGGGTATGAATCTAAGCACATGGGAATGCTGCGTCTGCCCAGCACAAAGAGGTGCTAGGAAGGACATATTGCCCAGGCAGAATGAACATCAGATTCCAGCTCTGTACCTCCGAGTGTGCTCGGGAGACTCAGAGCCACCCAAAGTCCTCGCTTCTCCTGCTCCCCCTCCCAACTCAGGGAACGCCGAAGCAGACGGGATTGAGAGATGGGATTTAGCGGCTGGATCCACTTGCAACAACCACCACCTGTCCAGCCTGGGAACTGGGCCAAGTTATGACACACAAAATTCAGGAGTTACCAGGTTGTGCCTGACCTTTTAAAGTTGCTGTTATTGGTATTAAAAAATAATTTCAGAGTTTTGAAATAAAACAAAATGTTAGACTGCATTTTCAGAGCCATGAAGGCTTGCCAAAACAAGATGGGAAGTAAGTTAGAAAACAAAAGATCCAGACTACAGTTTGGCAGACTTTCCAAATTGGGGAGCTGGTATATGTGAACAAGTAATATTAATCTGACAGGGCTTTAAATTTGATATAAGGCTAAATAAAGCTAAGGGAAACATGAGTGCAGGAACTTCAAAGGCTGAACAGTCAAGTGAAGTCAAATTAATACCTGACTAGGCTAGAACAAAGAGCAGATGGCTTTTGGAGGGAGCTGTATATTTGAACTCAACATGACTTTGGTAATATTTGAATTCAGAGAGCAAAAAATTAAAGCTGGAAATACCGTGTATATATGCAGCCTCAAGAAGAACTCTTGATACTGTGAACAAACTGATAAAACAAGCAAATCTGCGTCCACAATCTGGATGGTTCTGGAAACTGTACAGTGGACATTTCAAACAACTCCTATGTCCTCTGAGAGAGTATATTTTTTTCAAATGTTTTTCAGGGGAATTCGTAGGAAGAAAGATTAATCACAATGGCATAATCACTGATTATCACCGATTGAAGACAGGAAACTATCAGATAAGTTTCCAAGATGGCACGCCTCACCGTTCTGTTATTGGCCTTCTAGGTGTGAAGGCCGCAGTTCTCTAGATTGCTTCTTCGCTGTAATTTATTCTGTAGATCCTATATATATGTACAATTGTAATTCCAGTATCTTCTACATAATAAACTCTAACCTAATGATTGAGACTGCTGAGTAAGAAAGGCAAGCTCT